CTCTGCTTAAGGAGTCAAAACAGATCCAAGGAATCCAAAGAAGGTAGAGTCTATGATTCAGTGGCCTCAACCAATCAATGTTCAGCAATTGAGGAGGGGGGTTTTGGGCCTCACGGGATATTATAGGAGATTCGTATGCTAATATGCTACCTCACAAATTTACTTTAAAAAAATGAATTTCAATGGAGTGAGGCAGCTCATCAAGCATTTACACGATTGAAGAAGGCTATGGTTTCAACACCAATCCTCATTCTACCAGATTTTGTTATTCCCATTTGTGGGGGAGACAGATGCTTCCTCAACTGGAGTAGGAGCTGTTCTGTTGCAACATGGAAGGCTTGTTTCATTTTTTAGTAAGAAGCTGGGTCCACGTATGCGTGTTGCATCCACATATGTACGTGAGCTCTATGCTGTGATCGAAGCAGTTAAGAGGTGGAGGCCCGATTTGTTAGGTTCTCCATTTGTCATCAGAACCGATCATCGAAGCCTTAAAGAGTTGCTGTCACATACAGTTCTGACCATTGAGCAGCAGAGATATGCTTGCAAATTAATGGGATACAACTTCAAAATAGAGTACAAACCAGGTACATCTAACATTGTTGCTGATTCTTTGTCTCGTAGCTATGAAGACCAGCCTGAAGCTACTGTGATGGCCATGCTATCATAACCTTCCTTCCAAATTTTGGACGAGATAAGGAAAGAAAATGGAACAGATCCTTACTTGCTCCAGATACACCAACAGTTGTTAGAGAATGGATTGGTTGATCCTCTTATAACCATCAAATATAGTATCCTATTCCATAAGCATCGTTTCTTGCTTGGTCCCACTTCCAATCTTCGCGAGATTTTGATGACTGAGGCTCATTCTTCACATATAAGTGGACATGCTGGAATCACCCGTTCCCTTTTACGCATCTCTGCCTCATTTTACTGGCCCAAGATGCGTAGAGATATCACTGTGTTTGTAACAAGTTGTCCCACTTGCCAACTGATAAAGACATCGACAGCTTCTCCTTTGGGACTTCTACAACCCTTGACCATACCTCAAGGAGTTTTCGAAGACTTGACACTTGATTTTATCAATGGTTTACCATTCTCTCATGGGTTTTCTTCTATATTGGTTGTGGTGGACCGTCTCACTAAGTATGCTCATTTTGGAGCATTACAAGCTCATTATATAGCTTCGATGGGGGCCAAACTATTCTGCGATATGGTAGTTAAGTTGCATGGAATTCCTCAAAGCTTGGTTTCTGACAGAGATAGCATATTTCTCAGTAAATTCTGGACCACCCTCTTCCAACTTAGTGGAACAAAGTTGAAGACAAGCACATCTTACCATCCACAAACGAATGGCCAAACGGAGGTAACCAATCGTTACTTAGAGCAATACCTTCGAGCTTTCTACCATGATGAAAACCAGAATTGGTTTTTGTATTTGGGGTGGGCTGAGTTGCATTACAACACAGCTTTCCATTCTTCTGTTAAGATGTCACCATTTCAAGCCTTGTACGGCAAGCTTCCTAATATGATACCTCATTATCCTAGAGGAATGGTCAAGGAAGAAGCTATCGATACCTTACTGTGTCATAGAGAGGAGCTACTGCAGCAGTTGAAGAAAAACTTAATGGAAGCTCAAAACCGAATGAAAATACAAGCTGATAGACATAGGAAGGATATTAGCTTGGCGGTTGGCGACTTAGTGCTGGTCAAATTGAAACCATATAGACAGATTACAGTGGAGAGACGCACCAATCAAAAGTTGGCAAAAAGATATTTTGGGCCATTTCCAATTGTACGAGTATTGAGTCCAGTAGCGTATTATTTGAACCGGCCAAGTCACTAGTTTTCACAAAAACCAACTAGGTTGAATCGATTCGTATTAGTTCCATTACTTGACTAATCTTTTATGAAACTCGGACCGGTTATATGATATGTTTACCAATTCTCAGGTCGACCATGCCTGGTCGATCCTGTTTTTTCAACATTGATTTCATGTCTCAACTAGTTCATCAATCTTTCCACCATCAATCTACTTCTAGCAGCTCTAAATAACCAACCCCCACCCATGATCAAAACCAATCACATTTTTGTCCATCACACCCCATTCAAGAACTACTAGAGTAACATTGTTTGAAATATGTCAATATGAAAATTCCAACCTTTCATGGTTTTAATCCCAACAACTGGATTTTCAAAGCAGAGATGTTTTTCCAGATGCAAAATGTTCCCAAACACTTAAAGGTGCAACTTGCTGGGTTAAAAATAGAGAGTCAAACATCTCCATGATTTCAGTGGATGTTCACTACTATACTATAAATCAATAGGAAGATTTAACGCGCATTGCGTCAGATATTTGGTGTTTCAATGTTTACTGATATACGAGGAGCCCTTCCCATGCTATCCCAAAATGCCCCACTAATGGAGTATGTTAGGGACTTCAAAATGCTATTGAACCAGGTTCCTAGTTTTAGTGATAATATGCTTATGAGTTTCTTTATATCGGATTTGCAACTTTATATTAAGAGAACAATTCAACGATAATGACCCACCTCTTTAGACCATGCCATGCAATTGGTCTATGCCTTTGATGCCCATCATGAATAGCTAGTTGTGTTCATCAGTCTCTGTTGGAAACAAGAAAAACTACGATCATGCTTCAAACTTTTCAATTTCTAAACCAGTAAACCCAACCACATATTCATCCCCAAAAACTACCAATCCCTCATACACCAGTCCTACATCTAGTAATCTCCAAAAAGCCATTGTAGCCTTACCATCATCTTTACCTATCAGAAAGAACTCTCCCAAAGAAATCTAAGATATAAAAGAACTCGGCCTATGCTACAATTGTGAAGAAAAATGGCACGTGAAAAATAAGATCAAAGCAAAAATGCTTTTGTTGATTGGTGAAGGCGAGGATGAAGAACGAGAACTTGAGAAAGAAATCATGTGGTCTCTAGAATCCAATGATGAAACATTTTCGGCCATAATGAATACACTATCAAGTTCCTTGAATTCGAAAGCATTGCACATGTTAGCCAATTTACTTGCGCACAAGGCATGTATCTTTGTTGACTTTGGTAGATCTCACAACTTTATTAACAGTGAGTTAGCTAAGAGCCTCAATATCCCTTTATCTTGTTCACGTGGAATAAAGGTTTTTATGGGGAAGTTTGAATCTTTTCTTTGTGATTAAAAATATATTTTAACATTCCAATTATCATTCAAAGCCATTATTTTTGTGTTGATCTATGGGTACTAGCCTCCATTGTTTGAGTGTTATTTTAGGAATGCATTTAGATCGGAAGTCTTGGACGAGTCACACATGATTACGTGGAACAATCCATGGAATTTGTGTGGAAGGATCAATTGATCAAACTCCAAATAGTTACTAATGTATCACTGCTTGAGTGATATGCATTTGATTACAAAGATTTTTGTTATTTGCTATCTTGATCATAATAACCACGATGAGGTAATTCCTAAACTTGATGCTTTAAGGAACTATATTGACCCTGTGTTATAGGATGTTTTGCCCAGGTATAAGTCAGTATTCTAAGTTCTTTACACCATAACTCTCTTCAGGGGCATAGACCACTCAATTCACCTAATAAAAGGGGCTAAATCAGTAAATGTCAAGCCTTCAGATTCCACATCACTCAAACAAGAAAATCTTTACATCACAAGAGGGGGTGAATTGTGGTTACTTCTTTCGAAAGAAACTTGATTTTCTAAGCCTCTTTTATAAGAAAACTATAGAAAATGACCATGAACAGAAAGCAAACCCTTTTCGACCCAAAAAACAGAATCAGATCAAAGATATTTATATATTTATATCATAAATATATAATAAAAGTTAGAAAAAATAAATAATTTTATATTTATAAAACCACAAGAGATCTAAGTGATATATTTTTATAATCACAATGAGTAAAAGTAAAAAATTTGAAACCAAAGAAAATAAAAGATAAACTTATTTAACTAAATGGATATGAATAATAAGTTTGAAACCACAAAGGGTTAAGTAATTCATCACGAAATCACAAGGAGTGAAAATGAAAATTCATTTTCCCTAATTAAAATTAGATAACTGTTTTAGAATATGTGCCAATAATATTACAAGATTTAGTTGGCTCCATTTTTCGTACATATACCCAATTTTGAAGACGGTTTATTTTTATATTGTTTTAAAAATTCTTTCATTATTTGTCTCCTCGCGTAAAAGATTAATGACAACTTATTTTTTTCTTTTGTTTTTCACATCATACCGGTGCAACCCCATTTAGACACCTTAATTACTTATTATTTAAGTTATTTGATTTATTTGCTTATGTAAAAAATCAATTCAATTTAAAAATTTAAGTTGTTAATAAGACTACATTAATGATTTTATATATCTCTAATACGCTCCCTCATACAAAGTTACTAGGCTTGAAGAATGAACAATGCATAGACTAACTTACCTATGCTAACAAATTTTACAAGACTTAATTAATTATTAATTAAATAGGAGCGATAAAAATAAAACCCATGACACCTAAACTCTGATACCATATAAAAAATTAATTCAACCCAAAAACTTAAATTGTTATATGAAACTACATTAATAATTTTATATATGTCTATCGGTTATATAGTTGTATAATTATAAACTCCTATTAGCCATTTTGTAATTTCAAAAAAAAAAAAATTATACTATACTCTTTCTAATAAAGTATCGAATCGTAATCTAACACATAAACAGATAGAAAACTCTGCTATAATAGATAACACACAAACAGGTGGAAAACTCTTGCTATAATAGATACCAATACCATGTCAAAAAGCTATTTGTGATATGAATGCATGAATTGTTTCAAAAACAAGCACCGAGTTTATGACAAACCAAATTTACAAATGCATACACAACATGCGAAAAAGGTTGCCAAAAAAAGAGAGGTTTAGTTCCATGGAGAGCACAAGCACGGTCCTTAGCAAGTTTGATGAAAATTTTCCCAAAGTACAACCCCATAAGCATAATACAAAATGAGCTTTCCAGTCTTACTCTACTGCACATGAAGTCATGTTCAGCCACAAGAGTGCTGGAATAACAACTGTCTTTGTAACATAATAGAATGAGAAGGTTTACATATCATAGACTAAGATGGTTTCACATGGTTTTGTTTCAATTCGTATAGAAATAGTACACCCTATTTCCTTCGCAGCAGTGTCAAGAAATTCAATAGACAATCCATTTGAAATTCGGTTGTGAGCTTCCCATGTCAAGCACTTTTCTATGTCAGCTTGCCATTCGATGACATCCAAATTGAAGTCTTGATTATGGATAACATTTTTTCGCGGTGGATTAGGACTTGGTCTAATTGAACCGATATGCAAAATGTCACGAAGAACTGACATGCTCAGAGCACGGACATGGGCACTTGGATGAGAAAGGCATCTGATTGTAGCTGCTAAGCGACACTGCACGTGTATCCACAAGGAGGATATTAGTCAACAATTCTATGTTAATTATAAAAATAAGAGAAGAGATCCTCTCATGTGTCGTTTAATATAATTAGGTCATGTGAAACCATCTTAACTGACCATAAACAAATCAATGGTGATGAGAAATGATAATGCACATGAGAATAGAGTGATGAAATGATAACAGTTGATTTGTCTATGGACGACTGACACCATCTCATATGACAAGGTCATGTTAAATGAGACATGCGAGGATCCATTCTTACAAAACAAGCACATAAGTTAGTATTGTTTTGAACTTGATTTTGCTTTCTAAATATGCAGTTGTAACCTGGAATCGAGAATGGATCCTCTCATGTCACATGACCTCATGTGAGATGATCTCATCCGTTCATAGACACATCATGGTAATGTTAGAGAAATATAAAACCATTAATATAGCCCCATTCAACAGCTTAAACTTTTGGGTTGAATTGGTTCTTTACATAGTATCAGACCTCGGTGTCGCAAGTTCAATTATCACCACCCCCTATTTAATTAAATAATTAATTAAGTCTAGTGGAGTTTCTTAGCATAGGTAGGTGGCCTGTGCATTATCCACCCTTCAAGTCCAGTGTGAAGGGGCACGTTAGAGAAATATAAAACCATTAATATAGACTCACCCAACAGCTTAAGCTTTTGAATTGAATTGATTCTTTACGATAACAAGAGATAGGAGAGAAAAAGTGTTAAGATAGAGCATCACCATTGATTTGTATGTGGATGACCGAGATCATCTCAAATGAGATCGATCATGTGATATGAGAGGATCCATTTCCTCTTGGAATCAAACTTTCAGTGCTTAAAAAAAAAAATTCATTCAACCCTGCCCAAATTAGAAGTTCAAAGAGGATCCATTTCCTCTTGGAATCAAACTTTCAGTGCTTAAAAAAAAAATTCATTCAAACCCTGCCCAAATTAGAAGTTCAAATCGGGAAGTTTGTTTACCTTTAAGAGGTTTGAAAGGCCATCTGCCACTGCAATTCCAGATTCTCCCAACTGAAGCACTTTATGAACTGCTCTAGCCGTTGCTTCCAACAACTGGCCAGTTTTACCAAAACTTGAAATATGAATATCAGTAAGGCTTAAGGATAAACCTGAAAACATATGAAATACCAAATCCTCCTTTACAGTGCCACATATTGTCGCTCAATGTAAAGTTTGTAACATAGACTAGAATTATGCCACAAGTGGCAATTTCTTTAGGACAATACTTAAGTTTTGAATCAAAAGGCTACAACAGGAAGAAAAACTGATATAGTTGAGCACACATCCAGCATGAATTTATGTCGTTATAGAATTGCTTTCCATAATAGTCTCCAATATAGCATAAAACTGTCATTTTGTCCTTTTGCATCTTGAACTAAACAAATAAATAAATAAACCTGCTCCAAAATCTATAGTTTCTAATATTAAAACTTCATAAGGAGAAAGAAACAATGACTTGAATAGATATGTGGGTGTGTGTTAGCACTTGTATGCGTATCAAAGAATGATGACAACATTTATCTCAAAAAAATCATTAGATATGCCTTTATATTCATTAGAAAGAATTAAGTGTAAATAGTTCAAGGAGTGAAACTAAGATTAAATGACAATAAGTAGGTAAGCGAATTTAATATATAAAAACATCATTGTTTGTTTGGGAAAAAAATCTTTTATTGCCATGTGATCATTAATTGAAGACAGATTTCCGGTTGAAAGACATTGAAAATGCATAGAGAAGCTAATGTTTGAACATGTTACCTTCAGCTGTGGTAAAGTGCAAGCCTCTCCATCCACCAACATCCCATCTGTGGCACGTAGTAGTAAATCTAATGCACTTGCCACGATTATCAATGATTCAAAACTATCATGATTCCTCATTAGTTCAACTATCAATTTTACAATCCGCTGATTGGTTGTCCACATTTTCTGCCCCAGATCATCATCTTTGGCAGTCCATGGTTGCAACTCTCTCTTGGCCTGACAAACAACAAGCCCAGGGAAGTGAGTATACGAATGAAATATTTAAAATAAAAAATAAAAAAATGATAACAATAGTAATATCAAAAAAGGAAGCTGATTTGGACACAGTTAGATGAGATAGATCTTCAGCATCATATATTTAAACTTTGTAGACATTAAAAAGGCCGTGTCTCACGGGTATTAGAAATGGTAATTCAAAATTTTGTTGGAGAGTTCCAAAAACTCTAGCAATTCTGGCTAAACAGAATAAGTGTCCAAATCCACAGCCGGAGTCATTTTTTGTGCAACCATTTCATAGAAAGATGAAACCAGGACCTGAAGAACAACTGCTGTAGCTCCTTTGGTTGGTGAAGCTGATACCACATTGCATAATGCATCAACAACCTACATCACATTAAATCACATAATGGTTAATAATGAACCTATTCAATGGGAAATAGGAATATAATTGAGATATTTGGATCCATACACATACAGGTTTCTAACCTTTGAGAGAAAGCATTTGAATTGAGAAAAATTGAGAATTCTGTGCTGCACACTACTCTCTTATTTATAGTACATATTTTACAATCAATCTAGGAGCTAATTTGCAGTAAACCGCTGACTACCTATTTAAACAATGTTAAATCTGACAAGAACTATAAATATCTTTTCAAGTGTCTCCATTAGGTACTGATGAAACTGAATTTATACACAAACAATTTTAAACAGAAACAGTAATTGTATTGAAAGTTTTCCTACGAGCAGATTGGCTCATAGAAATATCACAAATCCAGAGTTACAAGACTCAAACACTAATGGCTATAAACAGCCTTAGAGGAATACAGAAAACAAACACCAAAGGGACTCCCTGAGCACCCTTTCCCTTTCACTATTTCATTACAAATCAAGCTACCCTTACACTTTGCATTCCCTCTCTTATAACTAATTCCCTCATCACCTCTTTCTCTCTCCTCTAACTAACTTCCCTCCCACTACCACTATCTCTCTTTCTGTTACATTCTTTTGGAGCTGCATCCCCAGTTGGGCCTGTCACGTATTGTTCATTGGTTCCCTTATGTTGAGCTCCTTCATTTGGGCCTTCTCCTTTATCACTTGTATTACCTTCTGTTGAGCCTCTTTCATTTGGGCCTCCTTCATTTGTGCCTACTTCTTGATCAGGTCCACTTCTTTTCCTTCTGCTATAAACCTTCAGCATTCCATCAGGTACCCTTTGTTTCAAGTAGCTAACCCTTCAATACTATTACCATCCTCTCCCTCTCAAAATGATTTAGCTTAGGCTCTGTTTTCTTTGTATCAGGAATTTGGTATCTAAGCACCAGTGTTGAAACTTTCAGGGAAAAGGGAAAAGGAAAAGACAGAATGATGGCTAAAAACTGAACAAATTGATAGATGTAATCAGATACAATACCATAACCTAGTACTCCAATTTATACTAATATTTCGGTCAAGTACTAACATTACTAGTACAGGCCCATATCCATTAACGATAAGACTAATAGTCCTAATATTTTGTAACCCTCTCTCTCATACTTAAGCTTGCTTGTTGATACGAGTAGCAAAACCATAAACCTAAACAAAGAACATCTATCCATCTCAAAACAGAACTTAAGAAACTAGTACACTCCCCCTAATCACAAATCTTAGTAACATCCTTGGTAGATAGCTCCTAAGCTCCTTGCTTCTCCACATTAGACGTCCCAAGCAAATGAGACCACTCTTTGGAGTCCTCAACCTTACTCCTCAGCTGCCCCTCAACCTTCAAACTAGTCTCCAAAACATTGAGTTGGGAATCACAACACCCAGCAACCAAAACACCATTAACCGCCGGTTAAATGTAACACCATTTTCCTCTCGTCTTGGCGCTCTGGGTGCAACCAAACATGACACCACCTGCCACCCAAATGCGGCCCGCAATGACAAGTTTGCTTCACCATTCCTCCTCAAACAGGATGATACCATGATAGGAACCCAACAAAACCACAACTAGGAAAACATCACCTAGACAATTCAGAGCACACCAAAATCACAATCAGAAGCCCTAAAAACACCCAAATCTTCTTGTTGATACACTTAAATAATATGAAGGTAAATTGTATTCAGTTGTGTATTGTTCTAATACAAAGAGTTACAATACATAGAGAGCCTAATGAGTTTAAGTGAGAAGCCCAGAATATTTACAAATAGGAAGTAATCTATTCAAATCTAATCAAATCAAATCTAATCATATCTAATCTAATATTTCTAACACTCCCCCTCAAGCTGGTGCATATATATCATAAGCTCCCAGCTTGTTACATATATGATCTATTCGAGGACCTCTAAGAGCCTTGGTAAAAACATCTGCAAGTTGATCACTGGAATTGACAAATGCTGTCTCGATCTCGCCTGATTGAATCTTCTCTCTAACAAAGTGATAGTCAATTTCTATATGTTTAGTCCTCTCATGAAAGACTGGGTTAGAGGATATGTGCAATGCGGCTTGATTGTCACAAATGAGTTTCATGGGCCGTTGTTCACAGAGATGTAATTCCTTGAGCAATTGTTTTAGCCAGATGAGCTCACAGGTTGCATTTCCCATCACCCGATATTCTGCCTCTGCACTTGATCTGGCGACCACAGTTTGCTTCTTACTCTTCCAAGAGATCAAATTTCCTCCGAGGAGAACACAATACCCCGAGGTGGATCGTCTGTCTGAAGGAGAACCTGCCCAGTCAGCATCTGAATAGCTAGACACTTCTGCATTCCCTTTACTAGTGTATAATAAACCTCTTCCTGGTGCCTTTTTAATATATCGAAGAATCCTGATAACTGCATCCCAATGAGAGTCACAAGGAGAGTCAAGGAATTGACTTGCCGTGCTAACTGAAAAAGAGATGCCTGGTCTTGTTACAGTAAGGTAGTTCAACTTTCCAACTAGTCGGCGGTAACGACCAGGGTCTGCCAATGGCTCCCCCTGTCCAGGTAATAGCTTAATATTAGGATCCATAGGTGTATCAATGGGTTTACATCCCAACATACCAGTCTCATCTAAGATATCGAGTGCATACTTCCTCTGACAAATGGAAATGCCCTGTCAATACTCTGCTACTTCGATTCCTAAGAAATATCGAAGTTTGACAATATCTTTGGTCTGAAACTGATTGAATAAATACTTATTTAACTGATCAATCTCAGCTTGATCGCTGCCAGAAATAATGATATCATCAACATAGACCAGGAGATAAATGCACTGTCCAGAAGAGCTATGCTGATAGAAGACAAAATGATCTGCTTTACTTCGGGTTAAACCGAAAGATTGAACCGCAGAACTGAAGCGACTAAACTAGGCTCGAGGAGACTGCTTCAGGCCATATAAAGATTTACGAAGCTTACATACCATGCCAGAACTCTCCCCCTAAGCAACAAATCCTGGTGGTTGCTCCATATATACTTCCTCCTGCAAGTCACCATGTAAGAAGGCATTTTTTATATCAAGCTGAAGAAGGGGACAGTGATGAATGGCGGCAAGTGCAAGAAACAGACGAACAGAGGCCATCTTGGCAACAGGAGAAAAAGTATCCCCATAGTCAAGACCAAAAATCTGAGTGTATCCTTTAGCCTCTAATCGAGCTTTGAGGCGATCAATAGTGTCATCAGGACCAACTTTGGCTGTGAATATCCATCGACAACCGACAATCGACTTCTCAGGAGGAGCACGAACAAGATCCCATGTTCCATTGGAGTGAAGTTCTTGCATTTCATCAATCATCGCCCGTCGCCAACCTGGATGAGAAAGTGCTTCACCTGTGGTTTTAGGAATGGAAATAGACGAAATATTAGAAACAAAAGTAAAATGTGGTGAAGAAAGTCTATCATAACTCAAGAAACTATAAAGTGGATGAGGGTTACGAGTGAATCAAATACCTTTACGAAGGGAAATGGAGTAATCTCTGATGGAGGATCCAGAGGGGAAGAGTCGACAGGAGAAGGCAATGAGTCAGCAAGGGTCAAGTCCGCAGGAGGCGCAGTCTGACGACGTTGCTAGGTGAGAAAAGGGCGGTCCTCTGAGATGGAGGCAAGAGGTTGCTCCTCTGGGATAGAGTCTCCTGCAGCTGGTAAAGATAAGTCAAGAAACAGAACAGGAAGAACCTGATCAACCTGTGATATCTGAGACGGGATAGAATGAAAAGGTTGTTGATCAAGAAAAGTGACATCAGCAGAAATAATATAACGCTTGAGGTCAGGAGAATAACAGCGATACCCATTTTGAAAACGAGTATATCCAAGAAAAATACACTTGAAGGCTTTGGATGTTAATTTGTCTTTTCCTGGAGTAAGATCGTGAACAAAACATGTACATCCAAATATATGTGGAGGCAGAGGATAGGAATGTGCTCCTGGAAATAATACACTGTGGAACTTCATTATTTAGCACAGAGGAAGGCATGCGATTGATAAGAAAGCAAGAGGTGATAACAACATCTGCCCAAAAACGGAGTGGAACATTCATATGAATTAGACGAGTACGCGCAGTTTCAACCAGATGTCTATTTTTACGTTCAGCCACTCCATTTTGTTGTGGAGTGTGTGGACAGGTGGTCTGGTGTAACGTTCCATGTTTTTCCAAAAAATTAGAAAAATCAAGAGACATATACTCTTTTGCATTATCACTACGCAATATCTTAATAGAAGCACCAAATTGAGTATTTATTTCAGCACAAAATTTTTGATAAATTAAAAATAATTCAGAACGATTTTTCATTAAATAAACCCAAGTACAGCGAGAAAAATCATCAATAAAAGTTACAAAATACTAAAAACCCAAAACAGACAAAGTTCGACTTGGACCCCAAATATCAAAATGAACAATAGAAAAGGGAGCATCAGCTCTTTTATTGACTCAATTAGCAAAGGAGGAGCGAGTGTGCTTTCCTTGCTGACAAGACTGACAGTTTAAAGACTTAAGATTGGATAAAAAAAGGAACCATATGTTGAAGCTTGGGAAGACTTGGATGACCTAGACGACTGTGGATTAATTCAGGAGACTCCATGAGAGAGCATGTCACTGGAAAAGGTGGTGCAGTCAGATAGTAGAGACCTCGTGACTCAATGCCCCTCCAATCGTCTTCCTCGTACCCGGATCCTGCATAGAAAAAGATTGTTTAGAGAAGGTAATAGTGCATGAAAAAGAATGAATCAGCTGGCTAACAGAGATTAAATTGAAGGGAATGCCAGGTATATAATAAACAGAGGTCAAAGTCAAAAAGGGAGTTGGGTTGGCTTGCCCAATTCCACGAGCAGGGGCCTTAGTGCCATCGCAAGAGTAACTGAAGGTAGATTATTAGAATAAGAAAGTGAAGTAAAGAGATCCTTATTACCACAAAGGTGATTAGTAGCACCTG